AACACCGTCTCTACTAAAAATACAAAAATTAGCCGGGCATGGTGGCGGACGCCTGTAATCCCAGCTACTCAGGAGGCTGAGGCAGGAGAATCACCAGAGCCTGGGAGTTGGAGGTTGCAGTGAGTAGAGATCGAGCCACTGCACTCCTGCCTGGGTGACAGAGCAAGACTCTGTCTCAAAAAAATACAAAAATTAGCCGGGCATGGTGGCGGACGCCTGTAATCCCAGCTACTCAGGAGGCTGAGGCAGGAGAATCACCAGAGCGTGGGAGTTGGAGGTTGCAGTGAGTAGAGATCGAGCCACTGCACTCCTGCCTGGGTGACAGAGCAAGACTCTGTCTCAAAAAAAAAAAAAAAAAAAAAAGAAAAGAAAAAAAGAAAAAGTACTGTAAGAGCATGATTTTTTAAATCATATAAAAAGTATAAATGCTTATTGTAAAAACTCAAAGAAAACAGAAAAATGTAAATAAGAAAAGTCCGAGTCCCCCCCATAGGTGAATTTCCTATGTATATAGATATGGTGACAGTACGGAGTGTGTGTGTGAGTGTATGTATAGTTCTGCATACATAGAATTATACTGCTCTTGGCATAACCTGCTTTTTTTTTCAACTGAACAATGTATACAAACCATATATTGCAGCTTTTCCAAATCCAGTAAATATACCTATGTCTTCATTTTTAGAGAATGTTCAGTATTCCACTCCTCTGTGGATGACATATTCCCCCATAACTTCCTTGTTTCCAAGGGAAAGGGAACTCAGGCATTTTTGTGTCTTCATTTGAGAGCTTCCTCATACCTTTGATAATTGTGGTTGCCATTCCTTCTCCCTTTGAAATCAGGTTTCTTGAAAAATGAAGTGTTTGTCTCCCTGAAACTATGATAACTGTTAAGAAGCAGTTTTTTACTTAATTTGCCTCACTTCGGGTTCACAGGTTGTTTTGGTGTTCAGTTTGGCTTTGTTTTAGAGTAGATAGGGAAGGGCCCAGAAAGTCAGATGCTGGCAGTTTTTAGGCCACTGGGGGATCTGGACTCAGTGACTGCTGTAGTTCTTTTTTTTTTATTTGAGATGGAGTTTAGCTCTTATTGCCTAGGCTGGAGTGCAATGGCGTGATCTCGGCTCACCACAACCTCCATCTCCTGGGTTCAAGCGATTCTCCTGCCTCAGCCACCCAAGTAGCTGGGATTACAGGCATGCGCCATCACACCCAGCTAATTGTGTATTTTTGGTAGAGACAGGGTTTCTCCATGTTGATCAGGCTGATCCGCCTGATCAAACTCCCGACCTCAGGTGATCCGCCCACCTTGGCCTCCCAAAGTGTGATTACAGGCATGAGCCACCGCGCCTGGCCCTATTGCTGTAGTTATTTTATCCGCAGAGTCCTCAGGTCACGCATGGAGGTGGCTTGGCAATCTGGACAGGGAGACGGGGGAAATGAGGGATTCAGGCAGTAAAAAAAAGAAAAACAGCAAAAAGGAGCATATTGAGGAAACTTCTAGCGTGCCTCCTGGGGATTCACAAGTTCCACAATCAGCCTGTGCCAATCTATTGTTCTCTCTGTTGCTGGGGCCTGAGCTTGATGTTGTAATTCTGGGAAGACTTCCTTGGAGAACACTTGATATTATGGAACAAATCACATTATAGTAAACTATTCCTGTTCTTTTATGGTATCAGTAAACTGTTTCTGTACTTTTATAGCATCAAATATTTAAAATAGGTGGGCCTTGAGCAAAGGACCAGAAGCCTCTTTTGTACCAGAAATGTGTAAATTGTGGTTGTTACTTTTGAAATGCCATGTGGTGCATCTCAGAAAATGCTGATGTGGCATCCTGCCACATTCCAGCAATAAATTCGGTTTACCATTGGCTAAACCAAGTTATAACCTAAGCCCGTATGCACTGAAAAAACTGTTGTGTTAGTTCAGACTGAAAGGAAGAATGGCCCCAAGTACCCTTACATAATCGGCCCTCCTGCATTCTGGCATCTATTGCCCATCTTCCTTCTCAGTTCCTCACCTTGTTCCTCTCCTACCTCCATTCTCCCTCCTCCTTTTCCCCTCCCTTCCTCACCCTCTTTCCTTTTTCTCCATCTTCTTCAACCTCACCCAGACAAGCAGGCTGTGACCTGATTGGTTAATCCCTGTCCAGCATAGGGAGTCCTTAAAAGGCAATTTTGGGTTCAGGCACTGGTCCAGTCAGTTGGAGCCAGTGGAACATTTTGTTTTCCTGGAATACATGTTTGCTTTTCTCAGAGGGAGCAGTAGGGAGCAATGTAATTGCTAGATGTTTTTGATACTTGAGGCCTATCTATTTAATAGTTAAGTGAATTATTTTGGTGCACTTATATATTTTACTTGTTTTTTTATGTGGCAGAAAATGTATGAAAATACTCTGAGAGCTGTAAAACTATGTAATATGAAGATGTTTTATGAAAAATGTTATATCTTACTGAAACCATCTAGCGGGGCTAGGCACAGTAATCCCAGCACTTTGGGAGGCCAAGATGGGAGAATTGCTTAAGGCCAGGAGTTTGAGACCAGCCTGGGCAACATAGCAAGACCCCATCTCTACAAAATTAAAAAAAAAGAAAAAGCCAGACATAGTGGTAGGCTCCTGTAGTCCTAGCTGCTTGGGAGGCTGAGGCAGTAGGATCACTTGAGCCCAGAAGGTCAAGCTGCAGTGAGCTATGATCACACCACTACACTCCAGCCTGGATGACAGAGCGAGACCTGTCTCTTTAAAAAAACTATTAAAAACAAACAAACAAACAAAAAACCATCTGATGAAATAAAGCCTGTCTTTCTTGTTTTTGGAATCATGTAGCAAAATGTAAATGAATAAGTTTATGATGGTAAGTAGAACTTTTAAATTCAATTTACTATTTTTAATGGAAAGTGTTAGGCTTGTTTCAAATAGCTTTGTATGGGTTTTTAGTTAATGAAAAATTTCCAAATGTATTTCTCTATCTCCATCAAAAGGGAGAATTACCAAGATCTTCATCACACATCTTCATGGAGACCATTTCTTTGGCCTGCCTGGGCTCCTCTGCACAATCAGCCTGCAGAGTGGCTCCATGGTGTCCAAACAGCCTATTGAAATCTATGGCCCTGTAGGGCTTCGGGACTTTATCTGGCGAACCATGGAACTCTCTCACACGGAGCTGGTCTTCCGTTATGTGGTTCATGAACTGGTTCCTACAGCGGATCAATGTCCTGCAGAAGAATTAAAAGAATTTGCACATGTGAATAGAGCAGGCAGTCCTCCCAAAGAGGAACAAGGAAGAACTATCCTATTAGACTCAGAAGAAGACTCGTACCTTCTGTTTGATGATGAACAGTTTGTTGTAAAAGCATTTCGCCTCTTTCACAGAATTCCCTCATTTGGGTTTTCAGTCGTGGAAAAGAAACGCCCAGGTAAACTCAATGCACAGAAACTAAAAGACCTTGGTAAGTGTCTTTTTTTTGTTTTTATGCTTTTTCCCCCCTTCTCATCAATAGGGCTCCTGTTAACTGAAGCTATAAGAAGTGTCATAGTAAGGCCAGGAGTGGTGGCTCATGCCTGTAATCCTAGCACTTTGGGAAGCCGAGGCGGGCGGATCACTTGGGTTCAGGAGTTCAAGACCAGCCTTGGCAACATGACGAAACCCCATCTCTACTAAAAATACAAAAATTAACTGGGCGTGGTGGCATGCGCCTGTAGTCCCAGCTACCTGGGGGACTGAAGCAGGAGGATCACTTGAACCCGGGAGGTCAAGGCTGCAGTGAGCCAAGATGGAGCTACTATACTCCAGCTTGGGTGACAAAGTGAGACTCTGTCTCAAAAAAAAAAAAGTGTCATAGTAAACTTCCACTCCTCTATCCCAGGCCTAAAACTGACATTTTCTCCACTTAGTCCCTTTGCCCAAAGTTTGCTTATTAAGGAAAATCCATGGGACCAAAAAATGCTATTTAGAACAAAAGCCAAGTATACATTTGAATCCTGTCTTCAGCTTCCTGGATCCACATTCTTTCTTATACTATCTTGGTTGGCAAGGTGATTTGGGTGATAGTGGTGGTGGCTTTAGATCCAGGCTTTATTTTTTCACGTCTTCCCTTTGATATGTGTTTTTGATGACATCTTTGGTCTGAGAATTTTTGCCATTGATCTTAACCTTATAACTGCAACCATGTTCTTTCAGAGTTTCCTTCTCTATCTACTTTGCTTACTAATTTAACCTTCATTAAATTAATTTGGTATTCAAAACCCTGTGCCTCAACCAGTTTGATATACCAGGGTTCATTACAGTGGAAAGCAAGCATGCAGAGGTGGGCTTGGGGCCCATCTAAGGCTTCACACCTCCTCCATGCTAAGCCAGTATGCATGAGGGGATCTTCAGCACCTCTTGCGAGGTAGAGTCCAGGTACATTATATCTCCAGTGTCACTGCCTTCATGGGCATGGTGTGGCAGTGCCTGTAAAAAGCACGGTAGCATTTTGTGTGTGCTTGTTTTTTTATTTATGCGATCTCTTCCTCAACTAAAACAAAATGCTAGATAATGAGGAAAAGTGACTTAGGTTAATGGTTTTTTTTTTTTTTTTTTTTTTTTTTTTTTGAGACGGAGTCTTGCTCTGTCGCCCAGGCTGGGGTGCAGTGGCCGGATCTCAGCTCACTGCAAGCTCCGCCTCCCAGGTTTACGCCATTCTCCTACCTCAGCCTCCCGAGTAGCTGGGACTACAGGCTCCCGCCAACCCGCCCGGCTAGTTTTTTTGCATTTTTTAGTAGAGACGGGGTTTCACCGTGTTAGCCAGGATGGTCTCGATCTCCTGACCTTGTGATCCGCCCGTCTCGGCCTCCCAAAGTGCTGGGATTACAGGCTTGAGCCACCACGCCCGGCCAGGTTAATGGTATTTTTATTACCTGAAAGCCTGTAGAAATACTATTATATTTGGAAACTCTAAACATGATCTGTGTTGGAATTGGTGGTCATGTTATACTAGTTTGTAAGTATTGTCCATAGTGATGATCAGGTCTTATTTTAAATTAGTGTGAGATTTAAGCCCACTTTGATTAAGTGTGGAACTGCCCGTCTACCAAGAAGATTAATAATGTACAATTGCCTGAAAAAATGCTCCTTGATCTTGTAATACAAGCAATCTTCACTAACAATTTTTTTATTAAGTTACTTTTAGGTACTTGTTTTGACGAGGTGTTGATTATATCGTGTTTTTTTTGTTTGTTTGTTTGTTTGTTTTTGAGGCAGTCTTACTCTGTTGTCCAGGCTGGAGTGCAGTGGTGTGATCTCAGCTCGCTCACTGCAACTTCTGCCCCCTGGGTTAAAGCAATTCTCGTGCCTTGGCCTCCCATGTAGCTGGGACTACAGGTGTGCACCACTACGCCTGGCTAATTTTTTGTATTTTTAGTAGAGGCAAGGTCTCGCCATGTGGCCAGGCTGGTCTCGAACTCCTGAGCTCAAGTGATCTGCCTGCCTTGGCCTCACAAAGTGCTAGGATTACAGGCATGAGCCACTGCGCCCAGCCTGATTATATCATTATTTAGATGCACTCTCAAATTTTACCCAAAAGTGAGCTTATTAAATAAAGCACTCTCAAAAACTGTTGTTTCCTTGCACAACAGAGAATCAAGGATGTTATAGTGACTACAATAAGGTCCTAGTGATACTTAGGAGACTAAAACTTGTCTGACATGTATGCATGGGAAATGTTTTAAGTACTAAGGTATTGCTAATATCAATCAACACTGAAACTTTAAAAATGTATAAATAATTCCAGTTTTCCACAAGTAGTAAAACATTTATAACAATTATGGATGCCTTTTCCATTAGCTATTTGCAATGCTGTTAAAATAGACTCTTGAAAAGTCATAAATTCCATTCCTATAATGTAATGTTATCTGCCTTCATCATTAGGTGTTCCACCAGGTCCTGCCTATGGGAAGCTGAAAAATGGAATTTCTGTTGTTCTGGAAAATGGGGTTACAATTTCTCCCCAAGATGTCTTAAAAAAGCCTATTGTTGGAAGAAAAATCTGCATATTGGGTGACTGCTCTGGGGTTGTGGGTGATGGAGGAGTAAAGCTGTGTTTTGAAGCAGACCTGTTGATCCATGAAGCGACCCTGGATGATGCCCAAATGGACAAAGCAAAGGAGCACGGCCACAGCACACCACAGATGGCAGCTACATTTGCAAAGTTGTGCCGTGCAAAGAGGCTGGTTCTGACTCACTTCAGTCAGAGGTACAAACCAGTTGCCTTGGCCAGAGAAGGAGAAACAGATGGCATTGCAGAACTAAAAAAGCAAGCTGAATCAGTGTTAGATCTCCAAGAAGTGACTCTAGCAGAAGATTTTATGGTGATAAGCATTCCAATCAAGAAATGAAACCAGTGTTCCTGGGTGCATACTGACATGTCTGTGAATATGTTACTGAACCTACAGTCCAGTTTTTTATTTCTTGTTTTAGTCTGAGATTATTTGGGCCTTAATAATCCTAAAAAGAATGGAGCTGCATTGATGAATTGGCTCAGTATTTAAAGGGAGCAAGCTTTTTGATAATAAATCTTTTTAAGAGGAAAAAAACCCCAGCATCCTTTTTAATGTCCAGATTTGACAAAATGATAGACTATTCAGGTATACGTCTCATTTTGTGCTGCTACCACAGATAGCCAATATTCCATGCAGTCCTGGGTTTAGCTTCTGCCCAGCTTTATTGCTGCTGTTGGCAAAGAGCACAGGACTCAGCCCTCGTGGCTAAAAATGGTATTTTGGCAGTTTGTATTGAATCTGTTTGTGTTATTAACAGAATAAGGAGAAATGTCATGAAACGCTGGACACGCAGGATTGACGATAGCATGACCATAGCTTTGCTGGAATACTGAATGCAGGGTTTGGCTAGGTGTTTATTTTCACATTTTATTGAACTTTCTGTTTGACCCTTAACCCATAGTTCTCAGCTTGGGTGACACTGCTCCTCTGGAAGCAGGTTTGAAATTATGGGGATGTTTTCTTGTCACAGTGACTGAGTATGGTGGGGCTAGGTGGTGGTGGTGGTAGTAGTGGTGGTAATGGTGGTACTACTGCTACTGGTATTTAGTCAGCAGGGATCAGGGATGCTAGATGTCCTGCAAAGTTTTGGTCAGTAATGTACAATAAAGAATCATCTCACCCCGAAATGCAAATTGCAGACCCATTGAGATACACAGCAAGTTAAAGTTTATACTCTTGATGTGAATATAGTTTACCAAAATTAGTGACATAATGAGTCAAATTACTAGGTAAGTCAAATCCAAAAGAGTGAATATGTTAGAATTGCAATGTCATACCAAATAACATTCAAAAGAAATGAGCCATCAAGTGAAGCTTATGAACCTGGAGGTAAAAAATGCTTATCTATTAAACTAAGGTTTCTTTTTTTTTTTTTTTTTTTGAGACGGTGTCTCACTCTGTAGCCCAGGCTGGAGTGCAGTGGCCAGATCTCAGCTCACTGCAAGCTCCGCCTCCCGGGTTCACGCCATTCTCCGGCCTCAGCCTCCTGAGTAGCTGAGACTACAGGCGCCCGCCACCTCGCCCGGTTAGTTTTTTGTATTTCTTAGTAGAGACGGGGTTTCACCGTGTTAGCCAGGATGGTCTCGATCTCCTGACCTCGTGATCCACCCGTCTCGGCCTCCCAAAGTGCTGGGATTACAGGCTTGAGCCACTGCGCCCGGCTAAACTAAGGTTTCATTTATGTGTCCCTATTAGTAAACATTATTTCCCCAACAATGTTTCTTAAAACATGCTCCATGGCTAGTCTTGAGTGCTGATTCACTCAAAGGGGCTCCTCAGTCAAATCAGTTTGGGAAACACTTTATTGCTGTCTGTCCTTCTAGGAGTGGTGTAGTGCCCATCAACATATTAAAAACAGTATTGCTTCAAATGATCGTAAACCAGTGTTGGATGCCAGAAAGACCTGATCCTACAGTCCCGTTCTGTGACTTATGGTGGTACCTCTGTGTGGTCTGGAGCAGGTAACTCACTCTCCGAGTTTCTTCAGCTTGTTCATTTCAAAAATGGGAAAAACATAAGACCCATGTCATAGATTGTTAAACAAGACAACATATATAAGGGGCATAGCACATTGCTTAAATGTGTTGAGAAATCCTGCAGTACAGAGGCCTGTCAGCTCTATTGAACCCCTTTCTCAGTCCTATTTCACCAGGTACTACCAATTAACATCTCAGGAACCTGGAGAGCTTTACAGCACACATACTTAGAAACACTGTTGTAGTACTTACTGTTCGATTCCTCTGGGTTCTGGGGCTTCTCTGGCCAAAATTTTTGACTCCTGGCTAGTTGTGGAGACTCCAAAGTGGTGATGATCGGCTGGGGGCAGTGGTTCGTGCCTGTAATCCCAGCACTCGGAGGCAGGCGGATTGCTTGAGCCCAGGAGTTGCAGACCAGCCTGCGCAAATGGTGAAACCCCATCATTACAAAAATACAAAACTTAGCCAGGCATGGTGGTGTGCCTGTGGTCCCAGCTACTCAGGAGGCCAAGGTGGGAGCCTGGGGAGGTTGAGGCTGCAGTAAGCCATGATCGTGCTATCGCAGTAAGCCATGATCATGCTATCGTACTCCAGCCTGAGCAACAGAGCAAGACCCTCTCTCAAAAAAGAAAAGAAAAAAGCAATGATCAAGATAGGTCTGGTTACTTAAGATATGATCATCCTGATGTAGTCTCTAGAATGGTCTGTCTTACTGTAGACTCTGCCCCCAGAAAATGCCAAATTTTGATCATGCATAAAGCATGTCATGGTTTCTAAATTCAATTCAAATAAGCATTAGACGTTTAATATGTACCCAAACTTGTGCAAGAGGCTAGGACTAGAATGGCTCTAGGACTAGAATGGCTTAGATGAGTATCTCTAATGCACGAAGCCCCTGAAGATAGAGATTATGTCTTAGTCACCGCCACATCCTTAGAAATGCCTACCTAGAGCTGAGTGCAGTGGTGTGTGCCTGTAGTCCCAGCTACTCAGGAGGCTGAGGTGGGCGGATCACTTGAGCCTAGGGGTTTAAGTCCGTAGCGATATGGCAAGACTCCATCTTGGCTGGGAGCAGTGGCTCACACCTGTAATCCCAACACTTAGGGAGGCCGAGGTGGATGGATTGCTTGAGGCCAGGAGTTTGAGACCAGCCTGGGCAACGTGGCTAAACCCCGTCTCTACTAAAATTACAAAAATTAGCTGGGCATGGTGGTGCACATCTGTAATCCCAGCTACTCGGGAGGCTGAGGCACGAGAATTGCTTGAACCCGGGAAGTGGAGGTTGCAGTGAGCTGAGATCACGTCACTGCACTCCACCCCCTGCCAAAAAAAAAAAGAAATGCCTACTTATAGTAAGTACTCAGAAATGCTTTAAGTTCAGTAATGAAGCTAGCCCATTTCATTGCAGAACTTACCAGAAAGAATTTAAACCACTGGTTTGGTGGTGCCTCATTCACTGAGTACTAAATAAATGCCAGACTTTATTGTATTGGTAGTACATAAATGAATAGACAAGTGGCAAAATTCCAGCCCTAAGCGCACAGCCTAGTGAAAGAGACCAGTAGATAAAAGTAAATCTGTAGTTGCTTCACATGTTCTAATCTTGTAGCCTGGGCACTCGGATTTTGCTGTTCCTGAGCATTACTTGGTAGCTGACTTGAGCCATGCCCTTAGAATCAGGCTCTATAAATACGTATGGGCTAAGCCCTCAGAGGCCATGGGAATGTGGAAACGATATGTTGGGTCAAGTGTAGAGTATCAGTCCATGATGATAACTTTTTCTAGACCCTCTTCTGGGCTAAAATTTGTTTTCAATGATAGGGACATTCTAAGAATTTGTGGAGCTAGAATTAAGAAAGAAGTTTATATTAGACTTGTCAGAACCTGTAATCTACCCAAGGATTTGACTTTTAAGTGGGGAGGGTGACCATAATATGCATTGTGCCCCAAATTTACTTGATTACTGAATCCTCTTTTTGCCAAGGAAGATGTTGGAACTTTAGAACTTTAGAAATGCCATCCTCCATATGTCGCAAAATTATTCTATTTATATTTTTTACCTGCACAATTTACTGAGGTAATGATTTCCATGTCTACACTTAATATATTACTTCCTTTGTCCTAAACTGAGTCAATTGTGAGGAATCCATAGATACTTATTTTAGATTTTATTATTATTACTATTTTTTTTTGAGACAGAGTCTGGCCCTGTATTTTAGATTTTAAAAATGTACACTTGCAGCCAGGCACCATGGTTCACCTGTAATCCCAGCACTTTGGGAGGCCAAGGTGGGCGGATCACTTGACGTCAGGAGTTCAAGACCAGCCTGGCCAACATGGTGAAACCCCATCTCTACAAAAATTAGCTGGGCGTGGTGGCTGGCGTCTGTAATCCCAGCTACTCTGGAGGCTGAGGCAGGAGAATCGTTTGAACCTAGAAGGGGAGGTTGTAGTGAGCCGAGATCACACCACTGCACTGCCTGGGCGAAAGAGCAAGACTGTCTTAAGAAAAAAGTGCACGTTGGCCGGGCGCGGTGGCTCAAGCCTGTAATCCCAGCACTTTGGGAGGCCGAGACGGGCGGATCACAAGGTCAGGAGATCGAGACCATC